TAGCCAAGACATGAAATCAACCTAAATGCCCATCAAATAACTGGATAAAAAATGTGACACATATATGCCATGGAATATTATGCAGCCATAGAAAAAGAAAGAGATCATGTCCTTTGCAGCAACCTGAATGGAGCTAGAGGTCGTTATCCTAAGTGAATTAATGCAAGAACAGAAAACTAAATACCACATGTTCTCATTTATAAGTGGAAGCTAAATATTGAGAACACATTAACACAAAGAAGGGAACAGACACCAGAGTCTACCTGAGGGTGGAAAGTGGGAGAAGGGAGAGGATTTAAAATGTACCTGGCAGGTACTGTGCTTATTTACATGGGTGATGAAATAATCTGTACACCAAATCCTCATGACATGCAATTTACCTACTTAACAAACCTGCACACGTACCTAAAATAAAATGTTTAAAAATTATAATGATGTATGTTAACATTCAAGGATAGGTGCTAAATGACTAGAAATCCTAATTTATATATTGATTTTGTCTTTTTACATATTAAATTTGTAAAATTTCTAGAATTCAAAAGTAATCTAAAACTTGTATCACTTTATATTAATCAGGGTTCCTAGATATAAGCAGTGTAAACTAATTCTGCTTAACTTGAGCTAAAAATAAACTTATTAGAAAGATATTAAGTGGTCCATAGGAATAATAGGCTGGAGAACTAAGTTTATAAATTTGTCAGGAGCCAAGGGAGATTAGATTCAAGGAAAACACAATTACAGTCATGCCAAAGTCGTGTCTGGTTAGGTATTTCTGGTCACTTGTGGCCATTACCAACACTAGACTTTTTACAATGATCCACTCACCACTAATGCCTGGTCCCATATACCACTTCCACTCAGTGGTATGCCACCGCTGGTCACATCTAACTATATGAGTTTGTAGGTAGATAATGCCTGCTTTATGATAAGCAGCTTGTCACATAGTCATTTAATGGGTCATGGTCACATGTGCCACCATCATCAGATGTTTAGTATCTAAAAATGCCTAGAGGTAGGCTAGAGCTATTTTATAAGAGGAGCTGCCCTTTAAAAGGGTAGACTTTATGTGATGTAAACTGTATCTCGGTAATGCTGCCATTTAAAAAGCATTGTACAGCTAAGACATTTAATATTTTTTTATGGTTACATTTTCTTTTGGGTTCAAGTTTTTGTTTTCTCTGAAGTTGGCAATTTCCTTCATTTTTGTTTGCCTAATTTCAATGATCTCTTCATTAACTTATTCTCAAAATCTCTATCAGAGTTTAAATATTCTCTCAGTACATTCGAACACATTACATATTCTGTTTCATAACTTTCTTAGTGCTTTAGCACTGTGTGTTGACATTGATTTCTGGTCAACTGAGATGTTTCGTTTGTATGGGGGAATGTCTTTACCTTTATGTCTTTCAGTAACTGGTATTGCTATTTTTTGTAACAAAGGAATGCTGAATTAGCTATTTTGCTCTATTCTCCAGCCCTCTCTCACTTTCCAACCCCCAAGCCCTTGCTTTTTTGGATTTACTGATTCAAATTAAAAATGTTTTTATCATTAACGTGTTAAAATTTACAAATGTTTTTCTGTCTCTATCGAAATGATCATATGAATTTTTTTCTATAGTTTTCTACGTCATAGACACTGATGGATTTTCCAAGGTTGAACCAATTTTGCCTTCCTAGAATAAACCCAGATTGGCCACCATGTAACATTATTTTTCACTTTATCACTTGATTGCTAATATTTTGTTTAAGATTTTTAAATCTGCTTGTTATTGACATTAGCTTAGATGAATTGGGAAGTTTTCCGTCTTCTTATTTTTTTAGAGAGTTTCTGTAAGGTTGAAATTATTTATGCCTTAAATGTTTAGTAGAATTCCACCAAGGAAGCCGTCTGACACTGGAGTTGATTTTTAAAATACTTTATTATAAATTTAATTTCTTATTTTTCAAGACAAAATGTCCCCCCTTAAATTCCTGATTTTATAATGTGTGCTTTCTCTCTTTTTTCTTCATATATTTTATCAATAGTTTATTTATTTTGTTAGCCTTTTGAAGGACCAATTTTTTTTTTTTTTTTTTTACACAGAGTCTTACTCTGTCACCCAGGCCAGATCTCAGCTCACTGCAACCTCCACCTCCCGGGTTTAAGCGATTCTCGTCTCAGCCTGGGATTGCAAGCATGTACCACCACACCTGGCTAATTCTTGTATTTGCAGTGGAGTTGGGGTTTTACCATGTTGACCAGGCTGGTCTCAAACTCCTAATGTCAGGTGACCCGCCCACCTCTGCCTCCCAAAGTGCTGGGATTACAGGCGTGAGCCACCATGTCCTGCCAGGACCAACTTTTTGTTTTGTTTTCTTATTCATTCCTTTGATTCTCATGTGTATTATTTTCTTTCTTCTACTTTTTGAATGTGTAATTGCTATTCTTTTCTTAACCTCTTGAAATGATTACTTAGATTATTATTGTCAAACTTTTTTAGTATGTCATTTGAGGCTATTGATTTTCTTCTAATCATGGCTTTAGCTGAATTCCACAAATGTTGACATTTGATGTTTCTATTAATGTGCACTTAAAAATACTATCTAATTTCCCCTTTGATTTCTTCTTTGACTCACGGGTAATTTAGAAGATTACAGCATAATTTCTAAGTATTTGGGGATTATCTAATTTAGTTCCCCTATGGTCAGAAAATATACTGAGTTAGTTACTTCACACTGCCATAACAAAATACTATAGTCAGGGTGGCTTTAAAGACAAAACTTTATTTTCTCATAGTCTGGAGGCTGGAAAGTCCAAGATTAAAGTCTAGCAGGGTTCAGTTTCTGGTGAGGACTCTCTTCCTGACTTTCAGACAGCTGATATCTTGCTGTGTCCTCACATGGTGGAGAGAGAGCAAGCTCCCTGGTGACTCTTTTTATAAAGGCACTAATCCCATCATGAGGGCCCCACCCTCATGTCCCTATCTAACCCTAATTACTTCTCAAAGATCCCACCTCCAAATACCATCACGTTGGGGTTTAGGGATTCAACATTTGAATTTGTTGGTGGCACAGACCTTCAGACCAGAGCACAGACCCTGTATTGTTTTAATCTGTTGATAATTTGCTTCTGTTTTATTTAGGATTTATACTTTCATTTAGGATTTAGGATATATAACCACATACAAAAGTTTGCTTTACATATATATTTGTCAGGTTTTGTGCTGATATTTTTTCTAGCTTTATAATATATATAAAATATTTTCATCTTCCTATTTTGGAGCATTTAAGATAATATGGGAATTCACCTGTTTCTTGAAAATTTGTAGGATTTGACCACAAAACCAGTGCGGTCCAGTCCCTTTCCTGAATTGAAATTTTGTAGTTCCTTAGAAAGTTATCTGTTTTATCCATGTTTTCAGATATATTATTAAACCTATATTCTTATTAATGTCTGCCTTGTTAATATGCCAAGGATTTAGAGAAGTATTTTAAAGGTTTTAAATTTTAAAATTATTTTCTGTCCGTTTTTCCTGTACTTAACAGCTCTTGCTTTTTACAAGTTTATGTTTTATATATAATCTCCATACTTGTATGATCACATCTTCATTGTGAAATTTTTCCTTCATACATAAAACTTGTATTCCCTTGTCCCTATTATATTTGTGCTAATACTATTTTTCATTTTCTTTTATTTACACAAGTAGGAGACATTTATAATAGAAAATTAGAAATGAGAAAAACTGAAGATTATTTTTAGATTAAATACTAATTAATTTTTTCAGAGAAATATTTTTCTGATATGAGTGCTTATTATAATAAAAACAGAGAAATCAATCAGTAAGAATAAAGAAAATAAAAATCCTGTAGTTAGATACCATCACTAGTAGCATTTTAATGCATAATTATTCAGACATTTTTCTGCATGCATTTATAAATGCAAAAAAATAGAATTATACTCTGCAAGCTATTTTATGACCTGCTTTTCTTTTTTATTGGAAATACATCATGATTATATTTCTGTGTTAATAATTATACATCTACTTTATTTTAATGGCTGCAAGCATTGTGCTGTGTGAGTGGACAATTATTTCCCGATTTATCGTTAAACATTTACATGATCTGCTTCCTTTTTGTAAAATGTAATTTAATTTAATTTTTGTATGTGTGCTATTACAAACTACCCCAGAGCCAGCATCCTTTTATGAACATTTTAAACATTTAAAAGTGGTTTTCTAATGATGTATCTCTACAGTAACTAGTGAAGAATTCATGTTTGCTAATTAAATATCCACAAATTAAAATTCCCATAATGTGTAAGTTTTCCACCATCAGATGGGCGGAGACTTTTCTCAGTGATATTCCCTAATGTGGTTATGGGCGTAGGCAACTAGACTCTCTCAAATGCTTCTGGTTGGAAGTGTAAATTGGGAGAATCTTCCTTGAAGACAACTTGGAAATATGTATCGAAAGCAGCTGCCCTGCTTTTTCATTTTTACAGATGTTTTATGAGAAAACCTGATTTTTCCAAGATCTTATTGGAAAGGAATCACATTATATATATGTTGTAAATCCAATCCTAACATAAAAGAATTTTCTTAGGGATATTCCAAATAATGAAGCCAGGTGCCCTGAAGATTTCCTCAAGTATGCTTTTAAACATTTAAAATTTCTTTTGATACCTATATAAATCATCATTGCCTTGGGACTCCATTCAAAACAAAACCAGGATTTTATTTTTGATATATGGTGGTAGGACAGGATGGGAACAAATCTGCTGCTTTTTACTCTAGACTTTCCCAAATGGTTAAGATATGTGAACACTTTCCTGACATTTCTTGCCTTTAAATACCACATTTCTGTATTTTAATTGCGTATATTGGAGATGCTGTGACTGTAAAATCTGTATGCAAGGTGTGAAGTCTGGAAGTGCAGAGGAGAACTTCACGTTGTTCATGCTCTGATGGTTGCACATTGGTTTATTGGATCGTTCAACTTTCCCTACTTGTTTTCTGTTTTAGGTGGCACATGGGCTCTTGGGGGCCCTGCTCAGCTACCTGTGGAGTTGGAATTCAGACCCGAGATGTATACTGCCTGCACCCTGGAGAGACCCCTGCCCCTCCTGAGGAGTGCCGAGATGAAAAGCCCCATGCTTTACAAGCATGCAATCAGTTTGATTGCCCTCCTGGCTGGCACATTGAAGAATGGCAGCAGGTAGGGCAGACTGGGCACTCCAGGGCCCTCTGTGATTACGATTGTGGGGGGCCCTGCACTGCACTAACATAGAGTAGGCCAAGCCTGCCGCCTCACCCCCTCTTGTCTTCTTAGTGTTCCAGGACTTGTGGCGGGGGAACTCAGAATAGGAGAGTCACCTGTCGGCAGCTGCTAACGGATGGCAGCTTTTTGAATCTCTCAGATGAATTGTGCCAAGGACCCAAGGCATCGTCTCACAAGTCCTGTGCCAGGACAGACTGTCCTCCACATTTAGCTGTGGGAGACTGGTCGAAGGTAAGGGCCACGCTCGACTTTAAAGTCCCTTCTTTTCTGCCCTCAAATATTTCCTCCACAAGATCAGGCTGGAACTAGTGTGAAATAAGGATCCTAGGGGGCCACATGCCACCTTTAAGGAGGTGCTCACTCCCTCTCGGGGTGGTGCAGGTTCCATAGTCCAGGCCCACACACAACGATTCATTTCCAGTGTTTACTCAATATCATTCAAAGTGTTCTTATCATCTTTCTCTTGAACGAGCCCCTTCTTTTGGAACTACCAGGATCATAGTATCCCAGGATCAACTCAAATCAGTCTGGTTCCTGTCTTCCTTGTGTCCTCCTGTAGGGACTCATTCATTAAGCCCTGTCATTCCAACGTCCTGAACATCTTCCATGCGTTCGCTTCCTCTGTGCTCTGTCACTTACGCTGCTAACTTTCCCCATCATCATGGCCAGCGTGAATTAGTGCAGGGAGTAGAATTCCAGCACATCGTGTCAGTACTGGCAGGACTTGACCCAGTCTACTAATGAAGCCTTATTTTTCAGGTGGGGGAAATTAAATCCCAATAGCTGAAGTAAGCTGCCTAAGCTCCCACAGCTGGAAAAGTAGCAGAATTCACTTATTTTGACTTTATTCCAAGAGTTCTTTCTGTTTATATTACACTGCCCGCTTGATCTTTCTGTATTACTCTCCCATCTCCATACTAGCTAGCATCCCATAGTATTCCCATCATGGTGTCCATCAAGTCTCCTGCTTGTTCAGGATCTTCTATAAGTCTGCAGCAGTTCCCGTTTATTCACAGGGGATACAGTCCAATACCCCAGTGGATGCCTGAAACTGTGGATGATACTGAATCCTATATATCCTATGGTTTTTTGATCTGATAACTGAGAAGACTACTTAAGTGACTAATAGGCAGGTAGCGTGGATGGAATGATTCATGTCCTGGGCAGATGGAGCGAGATGGTGAGAGATTTCATCACACCACTCAGAACGTCATGCAACCTACAACTTACAAATTGTTTATTTCTGGAATGTTCTATTTAATATTTTTGGACCACAGTTAACTGTGGAAAGCAAAACCGTGGATAAGAAGGGACTATTGTATATGTTTCCCAGAGTAGCTGGTAGGGCCTTTCTTGCTCTCGTGGCTCTCTTATTCCAGTCCTTATTCTTCCAGCCCTTGACTCCGGCCTTCCTGTATCCTTAACATCTCCAGGCTGAGATTCTAGCACAGATTCTGAAACAGATAACTAGTTATGTTGTCAGTGTCTTGTAACATCTAGTCACTGTCACCTGGTGTGTATCTTCTTGGAGTAGAGAGCCAACCCCGACATCAGAAATAACCTCAAGAAATAAGGAAGGACAGTGAGTGACATTCACAAGCTGCTCTGAGTTCTAGGTTCAGTGCCAGGCACAGTCATGACCTGATCCTCTCATCTCAGCCTGCAGTAGCCCCAGAAGCAGATATTGTCTCCCTTTTTATACATGAGAAAACAGAGGGTCATTCAGGTTCAGTAACTTGCCCAAGGACAGAGATAGATTCAAACCCAGGTCCATATGACCCAAAACTAGTATACATGGCATACACTCCCGTCTTTTATGCAAGAGCCTTACAGACCCATGCTGGAACGCCAGCTCTAAAGCCTAAATCTGGGCGTCCTTGTCAAATATTCCTAATCTCTCTGAACCCCCATTTACTTTTGCTAAATGCAATGGTTCTAGTGAGGGTAACATAAGATAGTGGACATGGCAGTGTCTAATAGAGTAGGCTCTTCCCATCCCCTCTGAGAGAAGGTCCACATTTCTGCGCTGTAGGTTAGATTAACAGTATTTCTGTACCTATATCCAGATTGGAATTCTTCTCCAGATTGGGATTTTTCCTGTTTTAACTGTCTAGTTCTGTTAAGGGCTAGTATTTTCAAACTATCTTAATTGACATCCTACGAGTCATTATCCTCAATCCAGGCCACTGAAGGTCTATATAAACTTGGCCCAAAACCTCAGAAGAAGCCCAAGGAAAGAGATGAACCCATCTCTCCAGGGTCTGCAGAGCAGGAATTGCCCTAGGATTCAGCCACCAATCCCACTTCCTCTGTCTAACTCACAAACAGTTGGAGACAGTGTCCGTGGCCACAGCTCTCCTGGGAAAGTTGCCATACTGGGTCAATGACTCGAGGGGCAGAAGAACTGTCTCTTCCTGCAGTCAGGTCCTAAACAAAGAGAAAAGGCTGATGGAGGTGAGACCACCTCCCTAAAGGAGGGTGGGAAGGACAGGTGACCTCTGTCTGGAGAGCTTTGTGGGCAGAAGTGGTTTGCTTAATTTTCCTCCCACTTGCACGTGGAACAATAGACGGCCCAATTCAGAATCATTATTTTGGGAATTCCTTTGAGACTAGGTCAGGCAGGGTGGACCAGGCAAAGGTGTTAGAGAGGTGGGTAGCCTGGGTAGGCAGGTGGGTAGGCAGTATTTATGCCGTCACCCAGCTAAGCCCCAACAGTGAAGTCTTACCTTTTCCCATCGTCAGGGGAGGTGAAGGATCCAGTTACTGCTTCGATAGTTAGGGACAGAAGGAAGGGCCACGTTTTTGTGGAGAGAATCTTGTCATTGTGAATGCTTAATTCTGTTTGCTACATTTCCTGTGGCCAAAGGACTAGGCAAACTGTCATCAGCAGGGAACTTAGAAGAAATGAGGAATCTCAAGACCCACCCAGACCTAAAGAATCAGAGTATGCATTTCAGCAAGATTCCTGGGTGCCATAATGATACACCTGCAGTGTGAGAAGTATTTCCTTACTTGCCTCTCATTCGGATTTGGGTGGGTTAGCCCTTACACGTGTCCACGGTGGGAGTGGTTCCGGGTACTGACTTCTCTGAGCAAGCACTGCCCTGACCTAAGGGGAAGAGGCAAGAAAATGGGAAGACAGCAAAGGAGCAGATGTCAAGGAGAAACCAGGCGGCTTGTTTCTGGATGCAGTGAGGGAGCACCTAGAACCACGGGCACGCTCTAAAATACCCCCGCTCTGCTTCCGTCCTTGCTTCTCTCCTCTAAGAACAAACAGGCCTTCACAGTTCTGTCCTGTCTTGTGGAACAAACGGTTGTCATTGGTGTCATAGAGTGGAGGCTAGTGGTGACATGACCACTTTCCTCCCTGTCCACTCTCTCAGTGAATAACTGAATTTACAGCTGCCAGTTGCGTATCACTAAAGTAACACCACTGCACATCTGCGTGGGCTCGCTTGTGTGTCTTTGCTGTTGTGGCTTTCAAAGCCTGGGTTCAACTGTAAGCGTCCCTCTTCTGTGAAGTTTTCCGCTTCCTAAAATCAGCCAGCATTTCCCACTTTTAAGTCACAGTGACCCTAATTTTCATTGTTTTTCAATGGTAGCTATTTCCTGAGCAGTCACATGGTTGTCCCACCTGGTTTATGTTGGCCTTGAGGCCAGTGGCCGTGAGATTGCCAGCAGATCCTTGGGTTGTCCAGAGCTCTGTGCGAGTGAATTCTATTCCTCAGCAGTCTCTGCAGAGTCAGGAAACACGCAAAGTGGGGTTGACAGCGATCTTTCGAAAAACTCAGGTCCGCTAACACAGGAGAGGCAGATCATTCACTGGAAGGGTTTTTGTTGAGACAAAGAAGAGAAGGAAACTAAAGAGGAGGCTACCCATGTGAGCTGGCTTGGACTGGAGGCTGTTTCATTTCATAGGCAACCATTCAGGGCAAAGAGCAAGCTCTTCTGTGCTCCAAGAGGTCACCCCAAACTCAATCACGACACTGTCTGGCTTCCAGTCAAGACCTCACATCCAGGAAGCCACTCTCTGGGAGGAAGAGTAGCCATACACACCACACACACGCACACAAGAAGACAGAGGCAGCCGCAGCCTGTGACACCAAAAGTCGATGCTGAGGCCTGAGTGCAGTCAGGCTCACAAACTGTTGTACAAAAGTTTGAGTTTCTTACTGGGTGGAGCTTTCTCCTGTTAGTTAAAATTTCCCCTCATCAGAGTTGTGTTTTTTTGTTTGTTTGTTTTGTTTCGTTTGTTTGGTTGTTTTTTTTTTGGGCAGAGACTGACCTCAAATTGCCACCCTTCTTAAAGCTTCCTGCCAAAGTAGTCCCTCTGCCGTGGGATGGCTCACTTGGGGGCAGCCATCCATCTTGTGGTTCTGGATAAGGTCCTTCTACATTGAACCTGGCCACTAAGCCTGGACACAGAAGGGCTGAGCAGCCATGCCAGAATTTCCATTCTTCGTGGAGCCAGGCCTCTGGCGTGCAGCCAGCATCGTCCTCTTCCCCGACACTAGCTCTATTCATGGCATGTTTGAGCTTTGTCCATTCATTGACTTATGAGTTTGCCGTGGTTCCTTAGATCTGGACCAAGCCTTGGGCAGAAAGGAGTCTTCGGTTCTTACACTGCTTTTCAAGTTATAAGAAAGGAGCATTGATTCGTATCAGGCAGTCTTCCCAAATGGTGAATTTCTGTGATCCACATACCCCTTGTAGCCTGTTTTGTGCCCAACCCTTTGGCTGAAATAGCCTTTATTTTCTGTACTTTGATAGAACATTTGATTATTTTGTTTATCTTCCTCTTCTTCCTTCATTGTGTTTCTTGGTGGTTTTTGTCTGCTTATCTGAATACGTCTTTTCTGTTGGCTTCTCTTCTTCCAAATCTCAAAAAGCCCAAATATTTGATACTTGGATTTCCATTGCTACACTTTGCCACTGTGGTTGATTCTGTGTCCTGAATTCTTTAACTTCCATTGGTGACTCTCAACCTCCAGAAAGTCTCTAGCCTTCTAACCATGTCTCTCCACCAATTTAAATCCAGCTCTCCACCTAGTTTATATCCTCATCATGGGAAAGTAAAGGGACAACCGCTTCACTCTCCCAACCAATTCTCCCCACTTCCTGTCTCTGTCCATGTACCACTGTCTTCCAATACTTACAATCATCTCTGAGTTCTTCACGTCCTGTATCGTTATTCGTATCTGCCAACTCTTCAACTCCTGAACTATTAATATATCTAAAATACTAAGTATAAAGAAAATAACTCTATAATGGAAAATTTATAAAGATCAACTCAAGATATGTCCAAGATACATGGATTTTAAAATATGGCATTCCCCAGTTTTCCATAGAATTATTAATTACAACTCATAAGGGAAGTAGTGTGTTGAAGTCAGTTCTTCCTGGCCAGTGAGAGCCACTTATGATCTCATCCCAGCTTGTGCTCGATCACATTGGGTTGATACCTGGAAGTCACCAGCACCACAGAAACTGGCAAAACAATCATGGCTCTTTCCTCCAAGAACATGTTTTGAAACATTTACCAGCACACAAGTACACAAAAGCTTATTTACACACACGCACGCGCTCTCGCTCTCTCTCTCTCGCTCTCTCTCTCTCTCTCTCTCTCTCTGTCTCTCTGTCTCTCTCTCTTTCATGAAACACTTTCAGCTTATCCCTGGTGCTTAGGATGAACATGCCCTCAAGAAGTCCCCATCTCTGAGCTCTTCCATACAAAGTCTAAGAAACTTGGCTGGGCTTCCTTCAGACATTTTTTATCTTTATCTTCATAATTGGTGTTTCGCGGGCCCAGTAATACCGTACTTCTTGAAGAGTCAGAGATGTCACTTGGTCTTGGATAAGATCTGGAAGCATTCTCTGGATTACCAGGAAGTACCAGGAAGAGACTCTTGTTCTCTTCCCTTACTTTCTCCCAAACAGCATCTTTCTGTCTCCGTCTCTCTCTGTCTCTTTTTCTCTCTGTGCTGAGCCACCTGGTGCTGGGAGTGGGGTGATGCAAGCACCCCTGTGGCACCACCGTCACTGGAACTGCCCTGGGTCAGACCTGAAGCCAGAATAGCACTGGGTTTCACCCAAGACCCACTGCAACCACTGTCTGGTTACTGCCTTAAGCCCTACTCAAGGCCTTAGGGCTACAGTCAGCAGGTGGTGAAGCCATCTAGGCTTATGTCCTTCCCTTCAGGCTTATTCCCTTCCCTTCAGGGAGGCAAGTTCTTTCAGGCCCTGGGCATGTCCAGAGATATTTCTGGGATCCAGGGATTTAAGTCAAAAACCTTAGAAATCTACCTGGCATTCTATTCCACTGTGGCTAAGCTGCCACTCAAACCGTGCAACAAAACCCTTCCCCCCTTCCCTCCCCTTTCCACAGGCAGAGGAGCTCTCCCCATGGCCGCCATCACCAGTACCCACAGAGCGTTCTGCCAGGCTGCCATTGCTGATCACCTAATGCCCAGGGGCTCTTCAGTCAGCTTGTGAATGCTGCCCAACCTGGGACTCACCCTTCAGGCTCCCACCTCTGGCCCAGGGGAGGTGCAGAAATGCTGTCCAAGAACCTAAGCCTGAACTTAGGGACCCCTGAAGCCCAGTAGGTCCTCTGTTTACTGTGGCTCGGCTGTTACCTGGAGCCAGACTATCTCAAAGTCTCACCCAAGGCCGATGGCATACTACCTGGATACCACTGCTGGTTATTCAGGGCTCAAAGGCTCTTCAGTTAGGAGTTAATTAATCCTGTCAGGACGTGGTCTTTTCCTTCAAGGCAGTGGGTCACCTTCTGGCCTAGGGTGTGTCTAGAAATGTCACCCAGGAGCTAGGACCTGGGATGGGGGCTTCACGACTCTGCCCAGTGCCCTATCTATGGCTGACCTTGTGTCCAGTATGTAAGACAAAGTACAAAGCCCTCTTGACTGGTCTCTCTCCTGGCAGGCACCTGTAATCCCAGCTACTTGGGAAGCTGAGGCAGGAGAATTGCTTGAACCTGGGAGGCGAAGGTTGCAGTGAGCTGAGATCATGCCACTGCACTCTAGCCTGGGCAACAGAGCAAGACTCCGTCTCAAAAATATATATGTATTCACATGTTCATAGACAGATGAATGAGTGAAGAAAATGTGGTACTGTATACACATTCAATGAATATTTTACAGCCTTAAAAGACTAGGAAATCCTGCCGGGCGCAGTGGCTCACGCCTGTAATCCCAGCACTTTGGGAGGCCGAGGTGGGTGGATCACGAGGTCAGGAGATCAAGACCATCCTGGTCAACATGGTGAAACCCCGTCTCTACTAAAAATACAAAAAATTAGCTGGGCCTGGTGGCGCATGCCTGTAATCCCAGCTACTCAGGAGGCTGAGGCAGGAGAATTGCTTGAACCCAGGAGGCGGAGGTTGCGGTGAGCCGAGATCGCACCATTGCACTCCAGCCTGGGTAACGAGAGCGAAACTCTGTCTCAAAAAAAAAAAAAAAAAAAAGACTAGGAAATCCTGCCATTTGTGGCAACATGGATGAACCTAGAAGACATCATTATGCTAAGTGAAATAAGTCAGTTACAGAAAAGCAAATGTTGCATGAGTCCACTTACATAAGGTATCTAAAATTGTAAAACTCATAGAAGCAGAGACTACAATAGTGGTTTCCCCAGAATGAGGAGTTGTTTAATGGTTATTAAGTTTCAATTATACTAGCTGAATAAGTTCTAGAGATCTGCAGTAAAACCCAGTGCCTGTAGTTAACAAAAGGTAGTGTGCAATTCAAAATGCATTAAGAAGGAAGATCTCATGTTAAGTGTTCTCATCATAAAACGGGCAACAAAAAGCAGAAAGAAAACTTTGGAAAGTGTTGGATATGTCTGTTACTCCGATTACGGTAACGGTACCGTGGTGTTTGCATTCAGCCCAAACCCATCACATTGCACAGATTAGACATGTGCAGTTCTTTTTATCTCAGTTATGCCTCCATGAAACTGTTAATAAGGTCAAATTTAATAGCTAAAAAATAAACTAGATATTAATTGCAATGCCAAAAAAAAAAAAATCCTACCACAATATATTACTGGAAATTCTTTACTATCTCTGAAAGAAAGAGTGAGAGGGAGGGTCTGGGAGGGAGGGGAAGGGTGATAGAAAGAACATGACTGAAGGAAAAAAGAGAAACAGAGAAAGGCAAAGGAAAGAGGGGAGGGAAGCAGAGGAGAAGAGGAAGAAACTCTCCATGACGTAAAAGCTGTTCAAGCCTAGGAAATGGCTTTCTCATTGGCACATCCGTACTGAAAATTCCCTCTTGTTTCACCCTCGGGGACTTTGCTGTTGTTGGCTGGGTCTGCTTGCTCACGCTCCATTTGACTCTGTCGCACAACTCTCGTTTCAGTGTTCTGTCAGTTGTGGTGTTGGAATCCAGAGAAGAAAGCAGGTGTGTCAAAGGCTGACAGCCAAAGGCCGGCGCGTCCCCCTGAGTGAGATGATGTGCAGGGATCTACCAGGGCTCCCTCTTGTGAGATCTTGCCAGATGCCTGAGTGCAGTAGTAAGTATGCAGCGTCCGCGCTTCACCAGCATATGCTGATTCTGTTCATTTTGTCCCGATGTCTTTATTTTCCATATGTCAACAGATTTCTCATCTGTGAGTAAAGCAACTCAGGCGGAACGCAGTGTTGTTTACGGCAGTGATCAGTAGAATGTGGAAGATCAAGACATAGCTCTAAAAAAAGTCCGTTTTAAGAAATGTCCACCCACTTAACAAATGCATCCTTTAGGCTTTCTCACTTGGATTTATGTCTTCCACTTTACCATAATTCCTTCTGCTTAGAGTTCTGGAGTATTCCTTATAGAAGTTAAGCCAACTACCTCCGGGTTCACTTTCCTAGGAATGCATTTGGACTTCATTAGAAGTAGAGCTACATACTTTTAAGCATTCAAGTATTTTTTCTTGTGTATCATCTAAAATCGGTAAGGATAAAAACATAAAATAACTTTGATTTTTAAAATGGCAGTTTGTACACCTCAGTTAATTATGAATAATGAGCTTACCATAAAGAGTTAATATTAATGGCTTCATTATAGCCAAAGCTAATATGCATGCAGCATTCATCGGTATTTTCAGTGTACATGATAGAACATATGTTTACATATGAATATGTATGTTTCATATAAGAGTTGTATGTTAAAACGTACGTTGAGGGCTGTCATGACATCACTTGAAAAGCAGGCAACAGAGTGGGGGTGAGAAGTTTGGGAAGGGAGGTAGGGAGGCAGGGAACAGGCATAGTAGAAATAACAGCTTTGGAGTTCAGTTACCCCTTTTTCACTGTCTTTAATTACTCACATGTAAAATCACATTCATTATCTCAGGTACCCTTCTGAACTTTCGGTAAGGAGAAAAAATTACAAATTACAAATGAACTATTTTTATTTTTGTGCTGTATATATATATATGTATATACATGTATTATATGTATATATGTATATATATAAATTTATATATCTATATATACATATATGTGTGTATATATGTGTATATATATATATGTATATATATGTGTGTGTGTGTGTGTGTGTGTGTGTGTGTGTGTGTGTATATATATATATATATATATATATATAAAACTTCAGTTTACCAACAACTTTCCTGGAGAAACTCACAAAGCAAAATAAGAAAAATACTGTTTTTTTTTTAAATAGTGACATTTATTGAGCAATTACTATGTGGAGCTATTTGCATGCATTATCTCATTTAGTCCCCTGAACAGCATTGTGAGGCAGATACTATCTTCAGTTAGAGATGAGAAATCCAAGACATAGAAAGGTGTGAGACTTGTCTAAGTCTCCCTGGCTGCCATTTGAACCCCTTGACCACAAGTCTGTCTGATTCTTTGGCCCACGTTTTTAGCTGCCTCTCTATGCTGATTCATGGACAACATTAACATTTTTTTTGAAGAACACATTTCCAAAATCTTAAGAGTCCAAAAACTTGAGATTCCAAGTTGTAAAGTCTCCTGGAATTCAGGAGTGTCTGTAGACTATGGTGCACTATCATGCTTCGTTCAAGCTGCTTCTGTATCTGATTTGTATTCATTGTGGATGGTTGCATAGCAGTGTGGCTAGATGGTAAAAACTGCCTTAGAGGAGAGTGAAATTAAAGTGATACTGGCAGCTTCCTCTAAAATAATAACAGAATAACATGTGGGAATACATTGTGGTTATTAGGGCATGCAATGTGGTACAAGATGAAATTATAAATTATTATGGCATGCACTGAAGAGCAGAGAAAATTCCAAGTTTTTGGGAGAAAGAAAAAACACAAGAACGAAAAAGATAGTAATATTTCTTTACCCCACCCGACTCCTGCCTGCCAAACATGTAGGTCATGAATGTAGACGAGAGACAGAAATCCATGCTCCCAGCACAGCCAACACACCCTGAGCTAGGCCCCCGCTTCAGCGACAGCCCCGCCTCGTTCCGTGATCTCTGATCAGTGGCCCTTGCACGTGGAAGTTTAGGCTCTGCTTCTACCATCTCATGTAGCATCCTTTTCTTTCCACCACCATATCACAGAGCAAGAGATGAGGTTGCCACGCTCTTATCCTCCCTACCCATCTGTCTCTGCACCATTTCCCTGCTGTCATGACATACTTAGCATGCAGATTGCCCCGCCTCATACCTTCAAAGGCACCTTACAAGACACTCGGCACCTTTCTCAGGACGCACCACCAGCAGGTGCATGAGTCCTCTCCAACATTTTCTAACATCCAAGACAACCAATATCTGTGTTGATGACCTTTCTAACACCTGATATCCCAGTTTCCCAACCTCGCCAGTTCTGCTGACTCCATCACGTGGCGTGGTAACCCCTTAGACTTCCTCACTACTTGGCACTCAGAACTAGCTTGCTGCTTCTCTGCCTTATCCTCATCTCATTCCTGCGTATTTATTTATTTAGTGCCTCACCATGACCTCGGGTTCTTCCGTGTCTCCCTCTTATCCCCAGACCTTCTGCTCTTGCACTGGAAAACTTAGCCAGCATTCCTTAGGTTCCCACTTAACCGACTCTACCACCGAATCTTTATGCCTTTCATTAACCTCCTGCACTTAGCCCTTTAGCTTCAGCCCTGGTATTACTTTTCAAGTGATGTGTTTATTGGTTGGTCGGTTGGTTCCCTAGCCTGAGCCACTGGGATTTCCTAAAGAAAATAATATTAACATGCTAATTTGGCATGTTTCCTATTTATGCTATCTGAATTTGCTGTGAAATAGCAGCTTTGTGCTCTATTTTCTCAGAACGCCCTAGAAATTGGCCATAGCAACTATTTTCTAACTACTGCACTGATCCATTTCTCTATCAATGAACTTTTCTTTCATTCCTCTAGGAATATCAAGACTATGGTGGCATAATGCCCTTCTGATTTTACTCTCTGTTTCACCTCAAATCTACCCCCTCTCCTCCTCATGTTAGAAACGTATGAGCTACCCCATCCATTACGAAAGGGGTCCATAGACAAGAAAATCAGGCCCAGTAGTGCTGTGAACTTTATTTTCTTCCGAGGTTTCAATTCTAGAAAATGTGTGTTAATTGGTGCCTTGCGTTTAAGTAAAATCCCTCCTCTTCGGAGGGGTGATTTTTCTTGGCCTATTTTGGTGTGCGGCGGGTCCAAGTCAGGTGGGAAAGATGTCTTGTGCTCCCCGTAGAGGCCAGGGGCGCACCTGTCATCTAATGACAACCACTGCCTGCTTCTCCCCAATCCCTGGACAGTTCTCTTGTTCAAATTATTTCCTTCCCGATGTCTAGTGACTGAAGTTCTTCCTGCTTCTGAAGGCTCAACACAAGCTCTACCTTCCCCAATAAGCTTTCTCAGTTGTACTTCATGTCTGAAGGGTAATACGACATTGTAGTTAAGTTAATAACTCACCTGATTTCAAATCCTAGTTCTTCCAGTACTTCATCCTGTGACATTGAGCAAGTTATTTAATCTCTGTGGGTCTCAGGTTTCTCATCTGTAAAATGAGAACTAGTCTTTATTTCACAGGACTGTTCTGAGAATCCCGAATTAATACCTATAAGTGCTTAGAATTCAATGTCAGGCACAAACAAAAAGCTCAAAACTATTGATTACTTTTAAGGTGTTTTTCTCTAATTTCTGTTATAGGTTTAACACACGATAAAATGTATTAAGTAAGTTGTATTGTATCTTCTGGCCTGTTAGGGTATGAGCTTTTATGGGGTAGGTGCACAGCCCCTCCAGATGTTCCGTTTTGTCTTTTTCTATATAATCCCCCAACATGTTTATCAGAATGAATTGTACTCATAGGCCGAGCATGGTGGCTCATGCCTATAATCCCAGCATTTGGGGAGGCTGAGGCAGGTGGATCACAAGGTCAAGAATTGTACTGATAGTCATTCTCTTTAAATACGTCAGATGTGGTTCATTCTCGAAGTGCTGTTAGAAATCTACCTGTCTTGGTTTCCATTAAGGCATCTGAAGAAAAGAAGGATAACAGAAATATGTAGTGCTTGATTTTAGAGTTTTTAAATTATGACTTTTAGGGTTCCTCAGCTTTGGTTAAAAAAAAAAAAAGTTTTAATTTTTCCCCAGAGTACTGAGATCAGGATGGATTAGGCATTTATTGAAATGTCAAGAAAAATATGCCTCAGCCCTTTCCCAGGGCTATCTCAAATTACTCTCGTCCCTCCCGCCGGTGGTCTCCCTCCTTATACCGACATGCAGCTTGTCTCTTTAGTTCTCTCAGCCTCCTATACACCTCTTGGACTTTGCCATTAGAATATGGCCTCCCCTGCTCTAACTCTTCCTCTAGCTTTGCTACTTCTGGCTGCTTCCAGTAACATCCATTCCTGACGTAGCTACAGTCACGGAAACCAGCCAGGCACAGGCCCACCTCACCAGCAATCCCTCTTGGGTCAGCACTTCCTGCAGGGTCCCAGGGCATACAGTGTTACCTGTTCTTTTACTCATTCATTGGCTTACTCATTCAACAGAAGGCAGTGGCCAGTGACACTGGGTGGGCAGAGTTCAGGAAGACTTTCACAGAAGGAGGAACCCTGGAGCAGACTTCTGAATGACATGTCTGTTCATCAGGCCCACATGTGTGTGGGTACAGAAGAATGTGGGGAAAGGGGGCAGTGTGGATAAAAGTAGGAGTTGTCAAATGGAGTGTTAAGTTTGAGAGAATGTCAACAAATTCCATAGGACTGGAACGTGGGTTCAAGAGAGAGCTTGCAAAGTTAGCTATAGAGACTCTTGAACTCCATGCCAAGGAAGTTTAAGTTGTATCCAAGAAGAAAGTGACTTGGCCAGGTTTGATTTTAGTTCATTTACTCTGAGAGCTATATAGATATATTGGGTAAATAGGAGACTACAGACCAGGAGTCTAGTGAAGGGAACACCAATATCTCGGTGAGAGAGTGCGAGAGTAGAAGCAACGGGGATGAATTATAATGACATTTCAGGAAGTGCCATCTACATTCCTGATGCCTGATGAGAGTTGGGAACTGTATGACGGGGAGAGTGGGGCATTTGTGAATGTTTAACAGCCTGGCTCCGGGGGTAGGGTGGTGAGTGGGGAGAGGCAGCTATCAGGGTACCAGTAAACACACTGTAGCCAGTGCCAAGGGCCTGAGAAGGCCATGTAAGAAGAGTCTCAATCTGTTTCTCCTCCCAGCCTGTGTTACAACAAGGAGGACCTGTAACTGGGGTCCCCACGGTGAATGAGGTCCCAACTGCATGATCTTCTGAATCAGCAATACTCCTGACATGAGTCCAGTATCTCTTCTGCCACTCCCTGATGCCTCCAAGCCCTCCAGCCTACACTCCACAATCTGCTCAGGAACCTAAATACATCATCAAAGAGGAACCCGCCTTCCACCCACATCACCATTCTCCTTCTCCCATGCCTACCCAGAACACATTGAGCCTTCCCTCAGATGAACCAAGGAAGAGAGATACTTCTCTTGGGGACAAGATCTGAGAATTAGTTTCTTTGGGCCTAGTCGGTTAAGAGGAGTCGATGCTCAGGAACAACTGAAAGCCAGCCCTGTCTCTGATTCCCTCTCAGTCTGCCCTGCTGTGTGTTAGTCGCACCTGCCCTTGTCACCAGGTCAGTGGTCACAGCAGTTGTATATGAGAGCTCATTATGTGCCGGCTACTGTGCTGTGCACCGGATATAAACAATCCGACTGCATTTTCACTTCCTTCCCAGTGAAAGCTCTAATATCCACATTTCACAGGTGAGAAAACGAGGCTCAGAGAGATTAGAGGATTTGTCCAAGTGGCGGAGCGAAGATTCAAACTCAGATTTGTCTGGCTCCAAACTGTCTGTTCCACCTGATCTTTTTTGATCACGGCTCCCCATTGCTTCCTCAGACCCCCATGCTAGTTTAATTGACATATTTGGGTGATACTCGGCAGCTAGCCAACCTCAGCCTCCTTTCAGACCCTTCAAATACATTCACTCACATTCCCATTCTTTCTTCCCCTCTCAGATTTGGGGTACCCATGGCTCCAAGCCAGAGGGCCTCTCTGCCAGATAGTAGAGACCCGACATATCAGACCCTTATTGATGGAAACATGTACCCAGAAGCTGGGTAATCATGGAGCCATTATATGAGTATGGCCTAGAATAAATACTCCTCAAGTCTAGAAGTAACTATTCCCTACATTTCACCAAATCATTTAACCTCATGCCTCCCCAAATCAGTGTTTTGTCAAATAACATATACATTTTATATGCAACTCATTCACACTTGCATTCTTTGCCACTAAAGTACTAGATGGTTGTGAAATTTACCCCAGTCTGTGGATGTGTAGTGTTATTCATGGTTTTATTCTTGAATGCTTTAAAATAGTAAAAAAGACAGTATTTGTTAGCCTATATCAGCCTTGAAAGATGACTGTCAAAAAGTCTGTATTTTTATTTGTTTGTATTTTCTTTTCTTTCAGATATCAAATCAGAGATGAAGACCAAACTTGGTGAGCAGGGTCCTCGGATCCTCAGTGTCCAGAGAGTCTACATTCAGACAAGGGAAGAGAAGCGTATTAACCTGACCATTGGTAGCAGAGCCTATTTGCTGCCCAACACCTCCGTGATTATTAAGTGCCCAGTGCGAAGATTCCAGAAATCTCTGATCCAGTGGGAGAAGGATGGCCGTTGCCTGCAGAACTCCAAACGGCTTGGCATCACCAAGTCAGGCTCATTAAAAATCCACAGTCTTGCCGCCCCCGACATCGGCGTGTACCGGTGCATTGCAGGCTCTGCACAGGAAACAGTTGTGCTCAAACTCATTGGTACCGACAACCGGCTCATCGCACGCCCAGCCCTCAGGGAGCCCACGAGGGAATATCCTGGGATGGACCACGGTGAAGCCAAAAGTTTGGGAGTCACATGGCATCAAATGAGACAAATCTGGAATAACAAAAATGAGCTTTATCCGGATGATGACCACACTAATAACCAGCCTTTCTTGAGAGCTCTGTTAGGCCACTGCAGAAGTTTTGCAGGAAACAGCAACTCCTGGGAGTTGAAGAATAAGCAGTTTGAAGCTGCAGTGAAACAAGGAGCATACAGCATGGATACAGCCCAGTTTGATGAGCTGATAAGAAACATGAGTCAGCTCATGGAAACCGGAGAGGTCAGCGATGATCTTGCATCCCAGCTGATATATCAGCTGGTGGCCGAATTAGCCAAGTCACAGCCGACACACACGCAGTGGCAGAGCATCCAGGAAGAGACGCCTCCTGCTGCTCAGCTCAGAGGGGAAACAGGAAGTGTGTCCCAAAACTCGAATGCAAAAAACTCAGGCAAGCTGACATTCAAGCCAAAGGGACCTGTTCTCATGAGGCAAAGCCAACCTCCCTCAATTTCATTTAATAAAACAATAAATTCCAGGATTGGAAATACAGTATACATTACAAAAAGGACAGAGATCATCAATATACTGTGTGACCTTATTACCCCCGGTGAGGCCACATATACATGGACCAAGGACGGAACATTGTTACAGCCCTCAGAAAAGTAAGTAAAATAAGAATGCAGTATTCATTTTTGCACTGCCTTCTTAATGGCTTTCCAGTTTTCTTGAAAATATTTTCAAATTCCTCTCCTAAGCATGTGTTTCCAACATGATTCTTTAGGAAAGAAACTTTAAAATGTTAGGATGTGTTTTTTACATATGCATTGGAATTTTTAAATGAAACCACCATATCATCCCAATCACTGTCATAAAAGTATGATATAAGACTGGATACAGCAAGAATAAGTTTAAGCATATATACACTCTCCCTTTAACCAGCACTTAGCATTTAAAAAGAAAATCAATATAAGGCCATTTTTAAAAGTAAGCTTACTAATGATAATCCCACATGTTGTTGGAACTGCAAATCAGAACTTACATAGCTCTTCCATATCTAGGAGATGTGGTATCTCATTTGAGCCCACGTCACCCCCATGAGGTTGGCAGGGCAGAAGTTAACCTTTCTGATGAGATCATTGAGAAGCAGAATCCCATGACTGATTCATGGCCAATCAGAACCAAGGGCCGTATCTCTTGAATACCACCAGTGGCATTTGAGTATCACCCAAATATGTAGCCTTAGCTGAAAACTTGGGTATGAGTAATTTTCTATTATCATGCAATTTTTAAATGTCAGACAATCCAAAATAAGATAAGAATCAAAGGGTTTTGAGATGTTCAAAACACAATATTAAGTCATGTATTATTCTGATCTCTATGCCAGTGTAAAAATGTCACATTTCCTTTATTTTACATAACAGATACTGATTTACTTTTGCATTCTTTATTGTCTTCAAATCTTGCTGTTTGTATACAAAGGACTGCAGACATTGTGCCTCCTTTTGATTCACATTTAAGAGCTTGAGCTGTACCTTATCTCACAAATAACACAGCAGATGTGAAACAGGCGTATCATAAGGTATTTTCAAAATGCAAGTTTTACCTTATGTCCTTTGTGCATTGAGCCTAGTATGTGAAACATCAGAAGAAATTTAGGTAAAATTCAGTTTTCTAAAATAATCATTAGGCTATTATTAAAATGATAGAAAAAATCTAATTTTTGAATTTTTAATGTTAGACCTCTGAATGCAAGAGTACAATGAAATTTTAGAAGTAGAATAAACCTTAAAACATAGCAGTTCTCAGAGCTTTTGGTTTTAGATGCTTTAAAATTTCAAAATGATTGAGGAGCTTAAAGAGCTTTTATAAATGTGAGTTATATCTATTACTATTTATCTCACTAGAAAATAAAGAAACATTGAAAATATGTCCATTAATCTATTTAGAAAAAATAATGGGCCCATAACATCTTCACACAAATAACATATTTTTTGAAAACCATCCCCCACTACCAAAATTACTGATAATAGTGGAATTGCTTTCCATCTTTGCAGATTTCTTTAATGTCTGACGTAATAAAAGAAGACAGCTGGATTCTTATTTCTGCATCTGTTGTGAAATGTTTTAGTTAAAGTACATGGAGGAAAAGAAATGTGTGTTATATAAATGTGTTATCTGGAAGAGAAGGAATATTTTAATATCCTTTCAGATAATTGTGGATACTCTATAATTGCACACTAAAACTAGACAAAGGTTAATTTCTCAAAGGGTCGTTGAAATGTGCAATCTGAAACTATATTAATGAAATGTGGATACTCTGTTTAATGAAATCGACTGTTTTTTCTTGCATTTTGAATGGATTTTTTTACCCATACAAGATTTTCTAACACCATACATGGGTCATTTGGAAAACATCGGCTCACTGAGTGTTAACTGACCTTCAAATGTTGATACATATCATTATACAATGTAAAAAACTACACACTTAAAAAAATCACCATGTATCTCATCAAAAAATTCTTTAAGTTTTGGAAAGTTATCAAGCTCACAATATTGTGAGCTGTTTGTTGGTCATTCTTTTGAGTAAAAATCATATTCTATGAAAGAGGCCACTAGTTCACTTGCAGTGCAAACAATCACACCCAGGTGCTTCAGCATTCAGCGGGAGTGCTTTGTGTTCCTTTCCATTGTGTCATACGGGATATTAAAAACATATGGCTATTAAAAACAATCTTACTAAATCTCCCAAGGGTCAGGATCTCCCAAGGGTCGAGATTTAGTAAGATTAATACCTTTTACTACTTCAGTAAGGACACTCTTTTTTTTTTCTCCTTTTTTGAGATGGAGTCTCACTCTGTCACCCAGGCTGGAGTGCTATGGTGTGATCTCGGCTCACTGCAACTTCCAGCTCCTGGTTTCAAGTGATTCTCCCAAGTAACTGGGATTACAGGCACATACCACCATGCTTCAGCCTCCCAAGTAACTGGGATTACAGGCACACACCATCACGCTTCAGCCTCCCAAGAAACGGATTACAGGCACGTACCACCACACCCAACTACCTTTTTGTATTTTTAGTAAAGACAGGTTTTCACCGTGTTGGCCAGGTTGGTCTTGAATTCCTGACCTTAAGCGATCCACCCACCTCGGCCTCCAGAGGTGCTGAGATTACAGGCATGAGCCGCCGCACCTGGCCATTAAGGACATTCTTAAGGGAAACTGGCATTTTTGTTTTTACTGAAAGTAAAACATAGTACTCAAGAACACAGTGATTACTGGTACACCTCAGTACCGCTGCCTCGGTTCACAGCAGTCTTATCAATGCTGTCTTTGCACTGTCAGTGCAAAGGTCAATACAGTTTTTAAAAAGGTAAATTTATGGTTTCATATTATTTCAAAACTAGCTTTGACCTCATGGACTTCTGGGGGGTCCATGGACCACCCTTTGAAGACTGCTAACTTGGTTCAATTCAATAATCCATTTTATAAATTGTAAGGAAATAAAGGCTGAGAAGGTTGAAGTGATCCGTTGACCTATGGCCATATAAGTACTACAGTGATATAGACGAGCCTCATCAGTTTAGAAAAATATTTGTTGAATTGAGTTCATTTTAAATAGATTGACTTGATGGAATGGAAGTAACGTGAGTTTATCCGGCCAACACTCCTGGAGCTTATATAAAGAAGATGTTTTGACATGATACATCCTCCTCAGATATGTTTCTGAATACTTTAAGGATCAACCATTCAAAACAGAAGCAATTTCAAATGTCTAATAAAAGGTTTTGTTTTTAATTTTTAAGACAATAAGATCCATTTTCATTTCTATTTTTCCTCCAAAACTTACCCAGTTAATTTGTTCGATTTATGTTTAATTTCCTTTATATGACAGAGGTTCTCATTTTTAAATATATTTTCTGATTCTCACAAATCTTTTCAACTGAAGTAATTCAGAAATGGATTTATGTTCCTGAAAGCCTCTATCCAATGAGAGAAACTGTGTGGGCACAGAGTACTGTTTGGATGACAGTTGAGTAAGAAATCTCAGCTAGGAAGAGAAGGTTGTGGGTAGATCAGTTAGAGATGGTGTTTAGAGAAAGACCAACTTTGTTATTATTTCAAGTTAAGGGTAAGACTATGCAGCAGAAGCCAAGATCAGTTCTGTTACAGAATTCAGTCTGGTGGTTCTCCAGCCCAGGGACTGATCCAGGCTAGGTACCCAGTGGCCCTACCTGACAGGTAATGTTCATGCATACTCATCTATTTCTGATCTCAATGATTTCTCACTGGACTATTACACTGAAACCTACAAAACAAAGGAAGCCTTTGAGAATTGCTAAATCGTACAAACGTATATGAAATAATTTAAGAAAACAATTTAGTGTGTTTATTTTTCATGTGTAGTCACTGGTTAGACTTTTGCCTTTAAGCAACTACTTCTCCTTTGTCGGGATTTGACAGTGAAAATCTTACCTTACTAATAGCCAGGTCTGCCAAACTTCTGTTGCTCTGAGACACTTCCGCTGTTTTGACTTCTGCCCACTTTTGTGTATTTCTCATGTGTGTTGCTGCGGGGTTTATATGCTCCTCATACCATCACTCTGTGTCATTATTTTGTACTATTCTAATCATCCAGACAGTAATCAAAGATTTTTGAGAACTTGCTATATAAAGTCACTGTGCTACGCAGAGAGAATGCACAGCTGTGAATAAGATTTGGTCCCTGTCCTTGAAAAGATCACAGTCTATTGGGAAGAAATAGATATTTCATCAAATAAATATATGACCCAGAGAAGAAGGAGCCCACGGGAGACAGAAGATAACTCTAGGAGTATTGGGGAAAACCTTACAGGGGAAATTACTTTTGATCCAGGACTCAGTGGGTAGGTCTGAATTTGCCAGAAAGGGAGAAGGGCATTTCAAATAAAGTGAACAACATATGCAAAAGCTCATGGTAATGAAAGATCATGGAATGTTCTGGAAACGGTTAAAGTTCATTATGACTGAAGCATAGAGCAAATGACGTGAAGTGACAGGAAATGAAGAAGTGGCCCAGCTCATCTCATGACGAAACATACAGTATTTAGAGGGCAGAATGGTCTGTTTGCTAAGACCTATAAAGTGAGATGGGTCAGGGGGAAAATGGTATATAAACCATTGATCTAGGGGATTTAGAAGCAGATTCAAATTATTAAGAACAAAATAAAATAAAAGGAGAACAAGCGCTCTTCCCCTCGTAACAAAGGTTCTTACCTTTAGGTATATTTTCTGAGTCTCTGAGTAATTATCTAATTGGTTAGGCTACACACTTGATCAACTTTCATTCTCAACGTGGTATTTGCACACAGGATTTTAGGAGTATCAGTAATTGGGAAACCATAATGAACTCATGCAGGTGAGCTCTAATTCTTAACAGCATGGTCCAAATCCCGTGTATACCACAGACTTAGCGTTAGCATGATTACCTCCATCAACTTCTTCGTACAGAAATCATGAGACCATAATCCATTGCAAAGCAGCCTTAGCCAAAGCCCAGTCACTTCCAGTGTGAAAATCCAAACTGAAAATTCACACCTGCAGTTTGTTAGGAGGGATTTGGGCAGAAAAATGAGGGTTTAACATCCAGCAAATGAATAGGTTTGCTAGGTTGTCTTGCTTAAAATGTGGCAGATTAAGCGTTGAGTTCACCCAGAAGTCTTTTCTCATGTAAAGTGGGATGGGAAGACTGGATCTCTAAGCACTGTTCATCTCTAACGTTGCTGTTAACCTAAGGCAGGAGGAAACACTCTACCCTCCTGGTCTATGTAGATTTCTGCTTATAGGCAGGATTCTTGACAAAATCATCCTTGTGATCTTTGCCAGCCCAAAGCCTGTAATCTTTCTCTTCTTTCTCTGCAACTTACTGTAGCCCTAGGTCAGTTAAATTGTTATATCAATGTTTCCTCTTTCTAACTGTTCTACAGAATAATTTTGGATGGAACTGGAAAGATACAGATACAGAATCCTACAAGGAAAGAACAAGGCATATATGGATGTTCTGCAGCCAATCACCTTGGTTCAGATGTGGAAAGTTCTTCTGTGCTGTATGCAGGTAATGCCCCCCATTGAAACCCAGAGTGCCTGGTTCTTTATTTGTTTTTAACATTAAATTCTAGAGCAGCAGTTCTCATTAGCAGCTGTCAGAATCACCTGGAGTGCTTGTTAACACACAGATTGCTGGACTCCACCCCAACAGGTTCTGGCTCAGTAGGTTTGGGATGGAGTCAGAATCCGCATTTTCAACATTTGCCCAGATTATGCCAGTGCTGCCGGTCTGAGGACCGACCACACTGAAATCGGCTATTCGGGAACTCACTTTCTAAAAACTGGGAAATGACACGGGGTTTAATTGGCAGTATTGATATTAATGGACTTTGCATTTTTAAAGTTCTACCCGCCAACAAAAAAGAATAATTATCTGTTAGAGATTGCATATGCCTCCCAGTGGCTAACCTGCCAATCCTAAGAAACCACCTCCAGGAAGGTTGTAACTGTAAAGTAGTGTATGTCTTCCTGGGAGGTGGACAATGTCATTTGAATATTAAAATATACTTTTATTGTGAAGAAACATTTTTAGGTGCTAAAGTTGCAGGCAGAGCTACATTTGGCAAGCTCATGTTCTGGGATAAAAATAAAACATGAGGCCAAGCGGGTGGTTCTTGCCTATAATCCCAGCACTTTGGGAGTCTGAGGCAGGCAGATCACTTGAGGCCAGGAGTTTGAAACCAGGCTGGATAGTTTGAGACCATGTCTCTACATTTTTTTTTTTTTTTAATTAGCCTGGAGTGGTGGTGCACACCTATAGTCCCAGCTAACTCAGGAGGCTGAGGCAAGAAGGTCTCTTGAGCCCAGGAGGTCAAGGCTACAGTGAGCTGTGATCATTGCACTGCACTAAGTCCTGGGCAACAGAGTGAGACCCTGTCTCTAAAAAAAGTTAGAAAATAAAAAAATAAAACAAGAGAGCCATCCTTTACCTCCCTTCTCTGTGGTTTCTCATATCTGTGGTTCAAATGGACCAACGTGAGCAGAGAGAGACAGTATCAGGAATTCAGGAATTAGAACCCAACATTTAATCCGTGTTGAGCTTTGTGGCAGGTACTTCACATCTACAAATTGAGGCGGTTGGACTAGTTGATTTTTTTTTTTAAGACAGAGTCTCACTGCGTTCTCCAGGCTGCCGTGCAGTGGCATGACCTCAGCTCACTGCAACCTCCACCTCCCGGGATCAAGCAATTCTTTTGCCTCAGCCTCCCAAGTAGCTGGGAGGACTACAGGCAAGAACAACCACGCCTGGTTAATTTTTGTATTTTTAGTAGAGACGGGGTTTTCCCATGTTAGCCAGGCTGGTCTCAAACTCCTAACCTCAGGTGATCTACCCACCTCAGCCTCCCAAAGTGCTCAAATTACAGACAAAAGTCACCACACCTGGCTGGACTAGTTGAATTTTTTTTTTCAAATGGAGTCTCACTCTGTTGCCAAGACTGGAGAAGTGCGGTATTGCAATCTTGGCTCGCTGCAACTTCAACCTCCTGGGTTCAAGCAATTCTCCTACCTTAGCTTCCTGAGTAGCTGGGGTAACGGGTGTGTGCCACCATACCCAGCTATTTTTTTTTTTTTTTGGTATTTTTTTTTAGTGGAGATAGGGTTTCACCATGTTGGCCAGACTGCTCTCAAACGCCTGACCTCCAATGATCTGCCTGCCTCAGCCTCCCAAAGTGCTGGGATTACAGGTGTGAGCCACGGTGCCCAGCCCAGACTAGCTGATTTTAAATGGTCCTTGGATCTGTATGGCTTGAAAATTCTTCTGAGCCCCTTCCCTGGATGCCTTCCCAAGGCAGGGCCTTGAGGCCTTGGTTTTCTGTGCCTTGATCCTCCTGGCTTTTTCTGTCCTGTGAGCATCAGCTCCTTTCCAGAAAGCATTAGTTCCAAGGTTCTGGAACTCCTGTTGGGGAATGGGAGTCCCCCTTGCAACTGTAAAGTCTCCCCTTAAGCCCATCCCAGAACAATCCACATTCCTAGTAGAGCTGCCTAGAGGTCTTCAGGGGCCAAAGGATGTGCTGTGACAACTGAAGACGTCTCCCATCCAAAGCGTTCCTATCCTTTTATTTCTTGATAGCTTTCCACTGCCCCAGCCACTCCAGGAGAGAAGAGAACATTTGGGCCCTCAAACGTGATCCTTCCTAGATTATCTTCCCCCGGAATATGTGGTTACCTGTACCAGTTCTTTCATGCACTAACTATGCATAGGTGATGAAACAGGTTCAGGGAGCATGGTCTCTCCCTTCAGGAGCTCTCCTAGTACTAAGCTTACCAAATGCCAGTACTAATGGTGGAGTAGGGAAACCAACCTTTGCAACAGTGCTAAGGGAAGAGAATGCTCTATCAAATGTCTTCTCTGGGATTTGCTTCCCTGACCCTCACATGCTATTGAGAGACCACTGGGTAGCTAGTCCCTTATCTTGATACCCACAGCCCTGCATAGTCGTGGTGTCTCCCACGGGTCTGTGAGCTCCTTGAGGAAAAGAGAGTGTGTTTTCTGACTCAGTACTGCCATTGTTGAGCTCAGGGACAAAGTATGCTTCCTGAGTGAGTGAATAAATTAATCTCATAACTAAATATCGAAAATCCAAAGAAAAGAACCATTTTAAAATGGATGTTTCTTTGAGACCTTGTTTGTATTATTTTTGCATGCAAATTTTATGCATGTATTTGCTTCATATTAATTAAATGTTAACTTTGAATTTTTCTTGCAGACAGTTCTGATCCACCTGTAATAACCTCATATGGTCACATAAAGTGGGTCATCAGACATTTTCTCTCTTGAGACTTTCTGCAGTGTAGAGATGTAAATAATGTTTTAAGTAGGCTTCTTTGCAGTTAATAGTCTTTAAATAGTAATGGCTTTTCTATTTTAGATTGAAATGAGTTTATTTAAGTGGATCAGAAAAGGCCTCTTTGAACCACACATTGGGTAAGAGAACTGCAATTGGAAGAGATCTTCTAGCTCAATCATTTTTTTTAATGGGATTCAAACCGAAGCCCAGAGAGGGGAGATTTGGCCCAAGCACGCGTACAGCTTGTTAGAAGAGGCTCAGCAAGAATCATGGCCACCTACCTGTCTCATCTTTCTCCAGTATAGCTTTGAACAAGCTCTGAACCCTGGTTATATCCTGGCAACCACGTGTCAGCCTGGCTGTGGCACCATATTCAGAGAATCTTTCTAAGGATTAGGTACCACATTTATGTTGAAAATGCCTGTGGATTAGGTACCACATTTATGTTGAAAATCTCCTTCTGCACCATTATACTTTGTGCTTATCAAAAGAGGAGATACTTCTCATCTTGTGTCCAGGTATTTCTCACCTGGTAACCAGATGCAGACCACAGAGTAGGCACTTGGTAAATGTTTATGTTGCAAAAAGTCTTTTACTACACTTAGCCCAGTGAGGGACAACAGAATGGCTGAGGACCTTCCAACCTGTCTTCATCAGCCCTCTCCCCCAGTATCTCACATCCCTCCTTCCAGAATAAGAGTCAGGTGGTCAGTGCGTTTTGTCCCTGCATTCATTCATTCAAGGTTGCACTGCAGAGACATCATTCCTGCTCTGCCTATCTTTTCTGCTTTTTTTTTTTAAACTTCTGAATTCCTTCTTTTCCAAATTATCAAAGAGGAATTTATCCTCAATTTTAATTATAAAACCAAAATATCCTCGCAGTCTATATATTGTTGTTGCAATGCACCTTTGAATTCATCCAACCGTCTATCCATTCGTCCATCTGTCCATATGTCCACTGAGCACCTCCAGGTCTGTATGTGCAAGTCCCGTGGTGCACCTTGAGGGATACAGAGAGAACCAGGACTCCACTTCCGCCCTCAAAGGGCCCAACAAATCTTACCAAATGCAACGTGTTTTACCAAAGAGCAAAAGCCTGAACCTAACATAGTTTCCTGCTCCCTTTGAATTAAGAGGCGCCTGTCATCTTGTCTACTGAAAGAAATATCACCAAACCGGAGCACAGCCATCTGTCTGTCACGGTTGGAGGCATCGTGGAGGCAGCCCCTGGAGCAAACATGACAATCCGATGTCCTGTAAAAGGTAAGTGTGGTGATTTCCAGTGGGAGCGTGTGTGGCCGTCTCAATGTTGCCAGGAGACACCAGCTGGCATTTTGGTATTCCAAACCTCAGCCTGATAGGCTTAAAAATCAGATTTTCCAGCACACTGTGACCTAACTCTCAAGGGTGAGCTCATACTGGCTCCTGAGACCGAAGTGTAAAACAGAATGCCAAGTTACTTGTTTCCAGCGTGGACTGTGACTGCCATGCACACTGGAATGTTCATATTGGCAAAGCCAGAATACGCCGCCCAGTGGGCAGATCTATAGAAGAGGCCAACTTTTAGTCAGAGGGTTACTTGGTGAATACAAAGTCAGAGGAGGGGATTTGTTGGAAATTGTAAGACATGTCCTCCAGATAGACAAAAACGACACTTGGCAAAGCCAGACTGGGGCGCTAGAATGTCCACGTCCCCTAGCCTAGGCTCTCTTGCTGTATTGTCGCTGGCTCGGCGTCGGCAGCCTGTGCCTCAGTGGCTCTTTCTGCTGTGTGTACAACTGCAGACAAACCTCCTTTCTAATGTTCACACTCTTTCTTTACTAGAATTAAAACTTTCAGTCTGACCTTGCCCTAACCTAGGGCCATTCTGTCTCATCAAGCCATGGATTCTTACATCTTAATCTGTGCCCATGCGTCTCTGAACTGTAGATAAATATTATATGCTGCACACATGTTCATTTTACAGGAGCCAGGAGAGGTGGGAGTGATGGGGTTGTGCGAATAGCTTTGTACTGCTTCCTTAGAGAAACTTACGAACTCCTCCAAATTAAGACTTGCTATTTTTTTGAGGAGGAGGAGGAGTTTTGCTCTTGTTGCCTAGGCTGGAGTGCAATGGCATGATCTCCGCTCCCGCAACCTCCGCCTGATGGGTTCAGGCAATTCTCCTGCCTCAGCCTCCTGAATAGCTGGGAGTACAGGAGCCCGCAATGATGCCCAGCTAATTTTTTTTTTTTTTTTTTTTTTTTTTTTTTGTAGTAGAGATGGGGTTTCCTCCATGTTGCTTGGGCTGGTCTCGAACTCCCCACCTCAGGTGATCCACCTGCCTCGGCTTCCCAGAGTGCTAGGATTACAGGTGTGAGCCACTGTGCCTGGCTACGAGACATACTATTTTAAGGTGACATTGTATATGTCTGTGATTTACTCTGCATTGACTTAACTCTCTGGACAACTGTATTTCCCTAGCTTCCAAGTTCCAATTAGATACCGTAGTGGCAGTCACTTAAGATGAGTCTTGCCTAGGCTGTGACCCTGATTGCCTAGGGTGACAGAGGAGCTTTTGCTGCTACTCTGAGAAATACAGTGAAGGTACGTGTAATGAAGAGATTCTAGGACAACTCATCCAGCTTTCGGGCGCTCCCTCCACTGTCATGACCAGTTACGTGCCATGTTTCCAAAGCTGCACCTTTGGCTCTATAAACAGTGGAAATTTGCTAACCCCCAAGATATTATTTTTCATCCCTTGGAAATCCCTGCTGTGTTTGGCCTATGCAGACTTTTGAAAAATTGCTCCAGGCTCCCAACTGACCCCACCCACAAAAATGTGAGTTTTCTGGCAAAATACACCCACCATTACAGAGAGGGCCAACATTCTCTGGCCATAGCAAGGAGAAAAACAGAATGGAACTCTGCAGATGCCAAGCCACAAATGTCTAAAGTTTCTACGGCCCTACACCTGCAGAGGATTCTGAAAAATAGATCTGACTTCTATTAAGAGAAACCTCAAATTTCAACATGACTTCTAAATTTTTCACTTCCACAATAGTTCAAAATCAGACTTTCAGGGAGATGAGCCATTGAAAGGATTGGAGTGCGTTATTTGCTATCGGAAGTCAGAGACTGGATTCAGTGGAAACTGCCTTTGTGTGTAAAGCCTCCAGCAAAGACCATTAAACTCATCTTGTTTTATTATCAGCCAGGCCCAGTCAGACATGGGCTGTCTCTGACCCTCCCCGGCCCCACTGCTTTCTTGCCCTGTGATGTGAAGCCTTGGGTCTGCAGCACTGCTGCCTAGATGGAGCTAGCTCAGTGCTGGGAGTACTCATCTCCCTCCTCCCTCCCTCACCTTTCAGCTCTTACTAGGAATTGTCCCAGTTGGCCTTTCTTTACCTGGCAGTCTTCCCCTGTGGACTTAGACACCAGAACTCCTGATGAGTTCTTTCCTTTTAAAAATAAACCTTCCTCCAAATGTACCACAATCATTTTGAATTATTTGCCATTTTAAACAAACCTGTAGTGAACTTACAGTGTTTTCTTATGGGCAGAGAATTCATTTTTTTAAAGATAAATGGTGAAGTTGATGAAGGGTCAGAAAACTCAAGTTTTACAGTCTTGTCACTGGCTGGTATATAACCATAGGTGAGTCACGTATCTTTCTTCCCTCATCTCTAAAACAGGGAATATATTAATAGAAGAAGGGATTGTGGTTATCATCCAATTTAGTTTTTCATTTTATAGATGAGTACATTAAAACATAATTTACAAAATTGAACTCTGCCTTACAACTTACATTTTTATATTGCAAATTGGGATTTCTGTATATCGGTGGCATATATAATTTTTTTCATTTTTCAGTTGTCTTAGAATATTTCCCATTAATTGTAATGAAGTTATTTTTAAATTCATTTAAAAGACCCCATAACATGTATTCATAGCTTCTAGAGAAGTTCTTCTTTTTATAGCTAAACATGTTTTCCTCAACCCATGTGGTACAGATGTCAAAGGGATTATCTCTAGTCACTCTTAGATCTATTTCTAATAATGCCATTAAATAACAGAACCTAAAAGTCTGCATATTTGCCTATTTCTAAAGGTTAAAACTTCTAACTTGCAAGAGTTATTTGCCTTGCTCTTTAAAAAAAAAGGTGTTTTTCTGTCCGTTTCGGTGGGGATAATTTAAAGCGCATCTGTTTTGCCACCTTCTGGTAAGCAAGAAAAGTTCCTCTGAGGAAAATGACCAGTAAATATACATCGCTGCATGCTTTGTTTTTTCTCAGGTTAATGCGTAGTAAGAGCATTACTTATACTGTGATTTTCTGTTGTGTGTTATGTTGTTTATCTTATTCCTTAAGTTCATCAGAGATGCAGCTGATGTGAGTCCCTTCTCTAAAGTGTTTTGTTGTGTGCTAAGCTCCTCTTTAGTCTCTCAGGAACTCCCTTGGCCCACAAGGAATGGGTTTGAGCTAAATGGTGATTCCTGAAGAAAGGGCATTGGCAAAGCCATCAATGGCCCAGCCCCAAGTGTAGAAAATTTCTTAAACACGAGGTACACTGGACAACTGCTTCTTGGAGCAAACTCAATTGCCTGGAAAGATTAGAGATGCTTCTAAACTAAAGCAAAGCTAAAGAATAAAAACATCTTTTAATGGTATTAAGGGACCTTGGTGTACATCTCCTTTAGGAGGAAAAATTCTATAACTGTACCTGACATCCCACCAGGCAGCTGGGTATATGTAGGTTACACAAAAGACTCATTAACAATAAATGCAGAAGCAAATAAATGAAGTTGAAGACATTCCCAAACAAATCCAGTCATGTGGATAATTAAGGAGAGTTTTTCCCAGGAATGCAAATATTTTTTAAACTCTTAAAAATATCTACTTTAAACAGATCATCACAGGTTGACTCTTGTCTGGAAGGTATATTTCTTGTTTCTGTTTTTCTTTTTGTTTTTGAGACGGGCTCTTGCTGTGTTGCCCAGGTTGGAGGGTAGTGGTGTGATCCTGGCTCACTGCAATTTCTACCTCCCAGGTTCAAGCTATTCTCCCACCGCAGCCTCTGAATAGCTGGGATTGCATGTGCTAGCCACCATGCCTGGCTAATTTTTATTTATTTTATTTTTTTTTATTTTTAGTAGAGACAGGGTTTTACCGTGTTGCCTGAGCTGGTCCCGAATTCCGGACCTCAAGTAATCCACCCAACTCAGCCTCCCAAAGTGTTGGGATTACAGGCATGAGCCACAGCATCCAGCCCTGGAAGGCGTTTTTGTTAGAATATTTAGTAGTTGTCAACATATGCGGAAGGAAGAAAGCCAGCAGGATTAGACAGAGGGCAGAGGAGAAGGAGAACTGCCATGCAGGCCTACAGAGCCTCGCCAAGCCCAGGGAGCCTTGAAACATATGTGGCTCATCAGAGTTGCCCCAGGGTGACCCACAGTGGCCAGGCCTTCATGCCCTGCCTCCTACAGTCACTTGGTATGGGCCTCTCTGGAAGGGGAGAGGTCCTGGGTGAGCAGAGACTACCAGAAGCCAGGACACTGAGTTCCTCCTTGAAGGTTGATTTGGGTGGAGCATCCCCATCTCTACCACACAGATTTAAGGAGATAAAATTTAGGATCATCTTAATAGATGTAGACAAAGCATCTGATAAACTTTGACACAAAAATGATGTGAAAACCTCTTGGAAAACCAGTAATAGAAGGGATCATCCCTACCTTGATTTGCTTGTCAAAAACCTATTGTAAGCATCATACTCACTCTAATGGTGAGACAAACAGTCCCATTAAAATCAGGAAAAAACATATGATGCCCTTTTTCACTACATCTGTTCAACACTGCTTTAGCACTAGCCAGTGCAATAAGATAAAATAACTAGAAAAATTCGAACTATAAAAGTAGAATTTTTCTGGTTATAACTTATAACCAGAAAAATTATGGAAAACTAGAAATAAAACAAACTAGAAAAAAGTGGAAAAATTTCTTCTTATTCATAGACAATTTAATTATCCTCATTGAAAAGGGAAGAAAATGTACAAAGTTTTGGATCTCTACATTCAGGATAATTTCAATTTTTTTAAAAAAGCAATCCTGTAGGATTTCTAGAACTTAACAAATTGATCCTGTAATTAATATGAAAGAGCACATGACTAAGAATAGCCCAAACATTTTTTAAGACTAACAAAGTGGGTGAGATTTGCTCTATCAAATATAAAGACTTAGCATAAGGCTTGAGGGCTTACAGCAATGTAAGAGGGACAGACAAATAAA